CAATAGCCCCCCCCCCCCCCCCCCCCCAACAACAGAACTCCCCAGCAACAGCCCCCTGCAACAACATACCCCTCAGCATTAATAGAACCCCAAGGAACAATAGACCACCACCAGCAACAACAGATCTTCTAATAGCCTGCATTATTAGACCTTCCAGTAGCTAGAAACCAGAGACCCCTCCCTCAACAGTAGATCCCTCCCAGAAACAATACCCCACAAGCAACAATAGACCCCCACCAGCAACAATGGATCCCTCTCTCAATAATAGATCCCCTCCAGCAGCAATAGATACCCCCGGAGTCAGCATCAATGGATCTTCCAGCATACCTCAGCACCCCTTGCTATTACATACATTCAGTGCTGGAGGTGCCAAAACTGCGTTCCTCCATGTTCCCGCTGAAAAAAAGCCCTGGGGTGCTTTTTAGCAATGAATGTACAGGCCCAGCTGTCCAGTCAAAGCTGCCATTTGGAGGGGCTAAACCAATGGAGGAACGGGGGTGGAGGGTTGCTTACATCTATCAGATTCTGCTCATATGGCATTTTCCAAAATTAAAATTTTTACAAAATCAGCACTAGGAATGGCACTTACCTTTATTGAGATGTGTCCCTTGTGCTGGACTTGTCACTTATTATGAGTGCCGACTATTATTATTATACAGTATTTATAAAGCGCCAATAGTTCGCTCAGCGCTGTACATTACAAAGGGGGACAGAACATGTGACAGAACAATACCAATACAATGCAAAACATGAGGGGATCGAGGGCCCTGCTCCTTGGAGCTTACAATCTAGGAGGGAGGGGATGGTGGCACAGGAGGAGATAGCTGTGGGGGATGGAGTGGTAGGAAAGAGAGTGGAGGAGGTCGGTCAAGTTAGCAGGGGGTGGGGTAGGCTTCCCTGAAGAGATGGGTTTTCAGGGTGCGCCTAAAGGAGAGGAGAGTAGGTGATAATCTGATGGGTTGGGGCAGGGAGTTCCAGAGGATGGGTGACACCCTGGAGAAGTCCTGGAGGCGGGCATGGGAGGAGGAGACCAGGGAACTAGAGAGAATGAGGTCTTGTGAGGAGCGGAGTGTGCGTGTTGGGCGGTACTTGGATATTAGGTCAGTGATGTAGTTCGGGGCAGTATGGTGGACGGCTTTGTACATCAGTGTTAGGAATTTGAATTTGATCCGTTGCGCAATCGGAAGCCAGTGGAGGGATTGGCAGAGGGGGGTGGGGGAGACGGAGCGGTTGGAAAGGTGAATGAGTCTGGCAGCCGTATTCAGGATGGACTGAAGCGGGGATAGCCAGCGGCGAGGCAGGCCAGTGAGGAGGGAGTTGCAGTAGTCGAGTCGTGATATGATGAGGGAGTGGATGAGCTGTTTAGTGGTTTCTGGGGTTAGGAACGTGCGGATTTTGGCGATGTTGCGGAGGTGGAGTCTGCATGAGTTTGTTAAAGATTGGACTTGGGGCTGGAAGGATAGGTTGGAGTCCAGAATGACACCAAGTACTCTGGCCTGCGGGGCGGGTTTGATATTGGCGTTGTTGGATGCGATGGAGAAGTCAATGGGGGGTGGGGTCCGGGCTGGGGGGAAGACAAGAAACTCGGTTTTGGAGAGGTTCAGTTTATGACTCATAGTTTAGCAGACTATGTCCACCCATTCCTCCCCCATCCACCATTCCTAGAACCGTCCATCAATAAAAAGCAGTCTATTAATGGAGGAGGAATGATAGGTCCTCCTCCTCCATTCATATCTCACATTTCATTGATGGAAATGTCATTTGTTTGTTGCTTCCCTAAAATGTATAAAATATTGCCACTGCCTAAAAAACGGCCACTGCCCCAGTCTGTAACGCATGTCAAACAACAAAAAAAGAAAAATTCCCAGCTCTAACTTGCCAGCCAGCTTGCCAACAAACCGAATTACCCTGTCTAACAGTATGCATTAAATACAGGGGTTTAGTTAGCACACATTTGCAAATGCATGCGTAAACTACAGAGACTCGTCACGGCACCCTGATATTCTGTAGTTCCTAAAGCAGGCCATACGTAATTCGAATTCCGAACGATTTTTCGTCCGAAAATTGGAAACGTTCGCTCGGTAATCCGATGGTGCCATCATTGATTTTAAAAATCGGCCAACCAAGTCATAAAGTTCACCCCATATAACATGCAAAACTTCTGTTCCTTCCAGGTCACGGCTCATGGCGCATATTCTTTTCGGAAAAACGATTGTACGATTTGACCATTATTGAGTCGAAAATCGGTAGTTTTGCATGAATTTTCCAACATGCCCGCTCACCGAAAAGGGGAGGAACCACAAAAATCGGCCGGGGCTATTGACCCACTAACAGATTGAAAATCGGTCGATTATTCTTAGGTTTGATTTTCGGACGAAAAATCGGCTGAATTGTGACTCATGTATGGCCGGCCTAACTCTCCAATTTTAAGAGCCCCCATAGTAGAGGCACATGTATTTAATGGATAGACCAAGGGCAGATGGACCTGAGGGAGCCCACCCCTCCTTAAAGGTACAGGAGCGCACTGGACACCCAGCATGTAGCACAATGACAGCTAAGGTGTCCAGTGCGCCCCATCGACCAACAATTCAACAGTACAAAAAATGGCCACTGCTCCGATCTATAACTGATGTTCAAAGCAAGGAGCACATGGAAGGGCGACGCATGTCAAACAACAAACAAAAAAAATTCCCAGCTCTAAATTGCCAGCCAGTTAATTTGGTTTGTTTGCAAGCTGGCTGGCAGGTTAGAGCTGGGAATTTCTTTTTTGTTGTTTGACTTACCTAAAAATGTATCTCAGGGCACAATTTTGTTTTTCAATTTTAGTTTTAGATAGTGTGAGGAAGGGATAGCTCCTCATTCAATTTTTGATTGCCGATTGCTGCTGTAGGGTAGTTGATGCTAGACTTCCAATAGAGGTAATGATTCAGTCAACAGTAAGTGGCTTCAAACATGCTTGGGACGGACATAGATCTATACTAAAAAAAAAATACAAAAACATATAAAAGATTAACCACTTGACCTCTGGGGAGGTTTTACCCCCTTCATGACCAGGGCATTTTTTGCTATTCAGAACTCTCTTTTGGTGGTATCTGATCAACGCTGTTTTTTTTTTTATTATTATAGTACTGTATAAACAAAAAGTCTGAACATTTTACTGTGACATACTGAAGTAGAGCATGATCCCCTCCCTCCGGAGACTGGGCCGCAGGGCAGTATTCCAACATGATAACGACCCCAAACACACCTCCAAGACCACCACTGTCTTGCTAAAGAAGCTGAGGGTAAAGGTGATGGACTGGCCAAGCATGTCTCCAGACCTAAACCCTATTGAGCATCTGTGGGGCATCCTCAAACGGAAGGTGGAGGAGCGCAAGGTCTCTAACATCCACCAGGTCCGTGATGACGTCATGGAGGAGTGGAAGAGCAGAAGGTGGAGGAGCGCAAGGTCTCTAATATCCACCAGCTCCGTGATGTCGTCATGGAGGAGTGGAAGAGGACTACAGTGGCAACCTGTGAAGCTCTGGTGAACTCCATCCCAAGAGGGTTAAGGCAGTGCTGGAAAATAATGGCACCCACACAAAATATTGACACTTTGGGCCCAATTTGGACATTTTCACTTAGGGGTGGACTCAGTTTTGTTGCCAGCGGTTTAGACATTAATGGCTGTGTGTTGAGTTATTTTTAGGGGACAGCAAATTTACATGTTATACAAGCTGTACACTGACTACGTTACATTGTAGCAACGTGTCATTTCTTCAGTGTTGTCACATGAAAAGAATCAAATATTTACAAAAAAATGTGAGGGGTGGACCAGGGGCGGACTGACAACTCATGGGGCCCCCGGGCAATAGGGGATCATTGGGCCCCTGTGTCCTTGCCCAAACTCAAAAAAGCCTTTGAAAAAGGTACCAGGGGCATCTCATGGGGCCCCCTACTGACCCCAGGCCCTCGGGCAGTGACCGAGTTTCCAAATGGTGGTGGACTCACTCCTGGGAGATACTGTATATTCGTAAACTCACCAGTCAGGGATGCCTACATACAAAATCGTTGTTTGCATATGGAAAATATAGGTTACTCGAGTTAATTGGTTTAAAAATGTTAAGCTTTAAATGTTAGGTATCTATTTATGTGGTGCAACCTCATCTTTTATGTTTTACCAAAAAATTGGGTAATATATTGCTTACTTTAATAATAATATTAATAAACTTTATTTTATATAGTGCCTTTAAAGGTAGCTTCTCAAACAGCTTTACAAAGAAAACAAACAATAAATACACAGGAACAAAAAGGATCATTAAGTGAAAGCTTGTCTAAAGAAAAACATTTTTAGATTTGATTTGAATGAGTTTAGAGAAGATGACTCTGATGTTCTTTGAAAGTGAATTCCAGAGTTTTGGGACATAGCAGGAGAAGGCTCTGTCTCCCGCCGAGTGTAGGTGAGTAGGGGGAACACACAGAATTTGAGGAGCAGAGGATACAAGGGGGGGAGTAAGTTGATAAAAGTTCAGACAGATAATGGGGTGCCAAGCCATGAAGGGCCTTATAGTTGAGCAAGAGGATCTTAAAGTCTATGTGAAACCTGACGGGTAGCCAGCTCAAGGACTCCAGGATAGGGGTGATATGGTCACTTGTATCTGACCTAGTGAGGATTCTGGCTGCAAAACTTTGTACATATTGTAGTTAATTAATAGTGTATTTAGGTACACCAGCAAGTAGAGCATTGCAATAGTCAAGTCAGGTGAACACAAATGTATGGCTCAGACTTTCAGCTACAGTGTATGATAACATAAGACGCAGCCAATCAATGTTTCTCAAGTGGAAAAAAGATGTTCTGACAACATTTTACACATGTGGATCAAAGGTTATGCTAGCATCAACTATCACCCCTAGATTTTTAAATTTAGACTGAAGCTCAAGTACAGTCCCATCAATAGATAGGCTACCAGTTCTGGTCTTACACAATTGTTGGGGGTTGCCCAGGGGCGGACTGACAACTCATGGGGCCCCCGGGCAATAGGGGATCATGGGGCCCCTGTGTCTTTGCCCAAACTAAAAAAAGCCTATGAAAAAGGTACTAGGGGCATTTCATGGGGCCCCTACTGACCCCGGGCCCTCAGGCAGTGCCCGAGTTTCCAAATGGTCAGTCCGCCCCTGGGGGTGCCATTAAGCATTACTTCAGTGTCTTTTTCTAATGAAAATTTGCACCTAATGACATCATACGTGACAAAACACGTACGGAGGAGCCAGGATACACGCTACCATGCATGCGTGTCAAGCCACTGCCATTTTTGATACTGGCATTGAGGAATTCTGTGAAATTATACACGTTGTATAAAACGTAAAATGCAGTGCTGACAAATGAAAGGTACCAAGGATAAAGATATACAAACAATGTGGTAAAATAAAAATGAATTCAAATAAAAAAAATGGCACTGAAGTGCAATAAAGTTCTATGAAGGTGCTCTCTGCGTTTCCAGTGCATATGATAGAAATGCGCACTAACCAGTAGCTTTTCAAATTTCAGAGCCCGGACGTGATCCACCTCCAGAGAGGGGAAAGTTTTTTTTTTTTTTTTTTTTACCATCAAGGATTTCCTATCTACACATCACTGGAAGGGGATCTCTGACTTTTCTGGATCCCATCTTCACCATACGAGGGCGCTCCTTCCTCATTTTCTTCAGTTCCAGTCCATTTTCTGACCAGAGAGAGGGGGATCTTCAGGATAATTACACACTGCGTATTTTGAATACGCTTCTGGTTAGTGCGCATTTTCATATGCACTGGAAACGCAGAGAGTACCTTCATAGAACTTTATTGCACTTCAGTGCCATTTTTATATTTGTATTCATTTTTATTTTACCACATTGTTTGTACATCTTTATCATTGGTACCTTTCATTTGTCAGCGCTGCATTTTACGCTTTATGCTATTTCACAAGGTTTTATATGGTTTCCTTGAATGTCCAGCTGCTTTCTTAGAGCGCTCACTGTAACATTTTACTATACACGTTGTATGCGCTGCAAGTTAATGTAAGTGCATTTACATATTAAAACTCGTGTTTACTGTGGATTTACACTATGGGAGCTGTATTTTCCCATCCCATTATGTGACATGAGCTGCCAGTTCTGTTGAGAAAGAGGTGTGGAGTGTTGATCTGGAGATCCAGAGACAGGCTGTGGGAGCCATATACCATTTTTATCTGGTGATCCAGTGAGGTGCCATTGAGGAGCAGGAGGCCTTTTTTTTGGGACACATTGAGCTATATATGAATTCTTTATTTTGGGGGTCATGTAAGCCTTGATTGCAAAACGTAGGTGATGTGTGATATATGGAGTTTTAAGCTGGACCACCTCTCATTGGGACTCGCAGGTATAGAGGGGCTATCCCTTTTTCTATCTATTACAGGGGCCTCCAAACTGTGGCCCGGGGGCCAGATGCGGCCCTTTGCTTGCCTTTATCCAGCCCTTGGGGCACTAGTCCTCCCACTGATAAGAGACACTTTCTCCCACATGGCACCAACAATGGGGAATAATTCCTACCACGGACATCAAAATGGGGCACTAATCCTCCCCTTAATACCAAAGATATGGTTTCCTCCAACTGACGCCAGTGCAATTTCTACCCCCACTGGCTACAGTTTGGCCCCCCTAAGGTCTGAAGGTCAGTAAACCGACCCTTTATTTATAAAGTTTGGAGATCCCTGATCTATTACATTGAGACTGTTTATCAACATATGCTAAATCCCTAATGAAGACTCTGTCACATCTGACCTCATGTTTTGAACGTTTGCACGATTAAACAACTTTGCACGTTGATGTTTGCACATTATTGCTTATTTGCACATTATTTTTTACAGATAGTTCATTGTTGTAATTGCTGGTACAGTCATTTGAATATTTACACTAACATTAATATTGCCCTGATTTTTGCGTAATTGCACATTTTGGGTGGTGGTGATATGTATAGGATAAATTATAACAGAAAAAAAATGATATTTTAAGGAACATATGCTTTTTTATATAGAACTGCACTTTAGTGTTTTATGGACGTACAGTGTTGTCACTGCATTATGGAAAGTAAAAAAAAAAAATGGCTCTATCGGAAGGATTTACAGGTAATAAAGCTGAGTTACACGTAGACTCGGAAAAACAAAAACTGCTGTATTACATCTACAACAGATTTAATGTTATGTTTTCATGTTTTTTTACATATTATTATTATTATTATTATACAGTATTTATAAAGCGCCGATAGTTCGCTCAGCGCTGTACATTACAAAGGGGGACAGAACATGTGACAGAACAATACCAATACAATGCAAAACATGAGGGGATTGAGGGCCCTGCTCCTTGGAGCTTACAATCTAGGAGGGAGGGGATGGTGGTACAGGAGGAGATAGCTGTGGGGGATGGAGTGGTAGGAAGAGTGGAGGAGGTTGGCAAGTTAGCAGGGGGTGGGGTAGGCTTCCCTGAAGAGATGGGTTTTCAGGGTGTGCCTAAAGGAGAGGAGAGTAGGTGATAATCTGATGGGTTGGGCAGGGAGTTCCAGAGGATGGGTGACACCCTGGAGAAGTCCTGGAGGCGGGCATGGGAGGAGGTATATGTAACATTGTGTTAGGATTCTATTGTTGTGTCTGGTAGGACATCTACTATAGTATCTCCAGGCAGCACTGCAGGCACTGTTCACCTTGGTTTTCCCCTTTGTGCCATTCTTGCTAACACACGTGTCACTCAATAAAGAGTGATCGGCAGTGGAATGCTTTTCACAAAGTCATGCCAGCTCGGCTGAAAGGGATTCAGTTGGAGATAAATAAAGTATCCTTCAGTGATATAAAAATGCATTAAAGCATAATCATCAAAACATTTGGGACAGTCCTTGTGTCATGTGAAAAACATGTGCTGACCCTCCACTTTGGAAACCTTGTACACTTGAGTGCTCCAACACCACAAATTCATACCACCTCCTTCCTGGATGATAAGACCTAATGATGAGGTCAGTAGTGCTTGTGTGTAAAACCGTGCCTCAGGGACACCAGGAAACCTCTGGGATAGATATCACCCACACCACAACGATCGGGCATCAGATCACAGCAGCAACCGGCCTAGGCACTTGGTCCTTTAAAGGATCATGTAAAGTGAAAGCACTCAATTGAGTGCGGATCTGTGATGACATCACTGTTGCTGTGATTGGTGTGGGTGCTGTTGGCATAATCCATAAAGGGGCCAAGTGCCGAGGCCACTTGCTGCCGTGATTTGGTGCTGGATCTTTGTGGAGTGGGTGACATCTATCCCGAAGGTTGCCTGGTGTTCCTGAGGCACAGTTTTACACACAGTTGCTATTGACCTAATCATTAGGAGGTTGTATCATCCAGTAAGGAGGCGGTGTGTAATTGTGCTGCTGGAGCACTCAGGTTTAAAGTGCCCAGAGCAGGGGTGGACTGACAACTCATGGGGCCCCCGGGCAATAGGGGATCATGGGGCCCCTGTGTCCTTGCCCAAACTCAAAAAAGCCTATGAAAAAGGTACCAGGGGCATCTCATGGGGCCCCCTACTGACCCCGGGCCCTCGGGCAGTGCCCGAGTTTCGAAATGGTCAGTCAGCCCTTGGTCCAGAGATTTCAGGAGGTTCCTCTTCTGATTCGGATCTGTCGAGGAGGACTCTTTCCCTACCCTCTTTCCTTGACACATGGGCCTTGCCATATTTTTGGAAAAAAAGACAAGGCAGTTCACAGTTCTGGGTATTGGGTTTATAGGATTTGTCAGGGAAGCAACCCAAGGAGACCACCTCTGGTAACAAAGAACCATCTCCTGGAAAGCTTTCTTCTCAGACTGTACATATTAGATTTTCTGAAATGCTTCAAGTTACAGTGTACACATACTGTACATGTTGGTGTGGACCAGTTCCTGGGACAGGTAGAGGCTTATCCCACAGTCCACAAATGGTGCTTGGTGAAGTGTCTCACTGGGAAAAAAAGACAAGGCAGTTCACAATTCTGGGTATTGGGTTTCTAGGATTTGTCAGGGAAGCAACCCAAGGAGGCCACCTCTGATAACAAAGAAGCATCTCCTGGAAAGCTATGTTTTCAGGCTGTACATACTAGATTTCCTGAAATGCTTCAAGTTACAGTGTACACATACTGTACATGTAAGTCGGTGTGGACCAGTTCCTGGGACAGGTAGAGGCTTATCCCACAGTCCACAAATGGTGCTTGGTGAAATGTCTCACTGGGAAACCTATACCTGCATATGAGTTAGGACATGCCAGGTTCTTGTACAAAGACACACACTTTGAAAATAAATGAAGGTTATGAGTTCTGCAAAGATCTAAGGGTATATGCAGGCTTTACCAAAATCTTCCTCCCTTTTCCCCTTTAGATCATGTCCTGCCATGATTTTTTTTTATTTATCCTTTTTCTGTAGTGAGAAATAGCTTTTATTACTTCTGTGACATCATCATCATCGGCTTGTAAAATTCAGGGGCAGCTGCATGGAGCTCAGTTCCATTTGATGTAGGCACACCACTAGAACTACATTTCTCAAGAGCCCTGTCCCAACACACAGAGTTGGTAGGCTTTTTCGAGTCAAGGCAGAATCATTGTTTTGCTGGGAAAAAGATCAAAGTATCGATATGAAGAGCAACAGAGAATGTTGGGTGATAGGCGGGGTTCTGTACTCCAGCAGGCAGGGCTGACAGCACTAGTTCAGAGTAAGCATTGTGTTGTGAGCCCAAACTGGAAGTTAGGAGCACACTGGATTTTTGGCAGATTAACTGGTACTTTTCTGTACTTGCAGCATTTTTAGAGGATACAACACTGGGAAATGTGCATTTCTTTTGTCCAGGCATACACTTTAAACATTAGCAACAACTTCACTCACCCCAACTACACTCCCCATCACTAAACAAGGCCAATTGTCTTATTAGATATCTTTAACAGGATACCCTAACTGGGAAAACAGGGACTCGGACTCAGTGTTTGTTACAAAAGACTCATCAATTATGTTACCAAATTGGCCAAGGTTTTCTTTTCTTTTTCACAGAGAGTCAAGAACACCCAGCAAGAGCCTGCAGCTGATCCAAAAACATATGGACTTAAGCCTGGAAACTGGGTTACGGTAGAACCCCCCCAAGAAGTCATCATCTTAACGTGGAAAGAGCCACACCAGGTGCTTCTTGTCACATCCACTGTGTTCAAGCTTATTAGCGAAGCTTCCTGGACAAATGGTAGCCTCAATAATAGATTGTGATGGAGCCAAAGGACAACCCCAATGCCCTGTAGCCCTATCAAAGCTAGAAGTAGTAGAATACAACCCTCTGTGTAAATGTTGCCAGAAAAAATGTTGCCAGAGAATTTTACTGTTTCCTGGATATGTATCAAGATAAAATGAAGAGGATGCATCAACCTCTGTACATTTAACTCAAAATAAATATTTCCATAGCAGTCTGCCAGCTCTTCAATGGGACATGCATCGAGGTAAACCGAAGAGGAGGAAGACGTCATTCGACATTAAGCAAGAAGAGATCACTGGACTAGATCCCACACAAGAAGAAGTAGATTTACAAAAATTGGAATTTGGCACCGAGAATACTTTTAGAACAGCTAACTTGCCCAGTGAGGTCACACTGTATAATGGGGAACTGTTGACCTTAAATGCCAGTGTCTTCAATATCCCCCATATCAACCAAGAGGATGACATAGATATATGTTCAAACTTTTTAATTGGCCTATGCTTTCAGGGTCTTTTGTGCCCAAAGCACCACACTGCTTGGCCATATGTATGGCAGCTGAGGTTCAAAGCTACAGGGATCTGGTTTAACATTGACCTGGGAGCTCAACTAGTCCTGGAGAGACTGTATAGTGACCCGGCTACGGCCCAAGTCACCGGATTCCACAAGTAAGTAGAAGAAGTAAAGAAGAGCATTGCACATGCCAATTCTTTTAATGTACTTTGTAGATCTTTTGGGGAGATTTTCCTTCACTTCCTGACTTAGTGACCACCATCAGTGGGACAGAGAGTGAGGGTAAATCAATGGGGGCGCACAAAAAAAAACCAAGAGGATGACATAGATATATGTTCAATCTTTTAATTGGCTTATGCTTTCGGGGTCTTCTGTGCCCAAAGCAACACACTGCTTGGCCATATGTATGGCAGCTGAGGTACAAAGCTACAGGGATCTGGTTTAACACTGACCTGGGAGCTCAACTAGTCCTAGAGAGACTGTATAGTGACCCAGCTATGGCCCAAGTCACTGGATTCCACCAGTAAATAGAAGAAGTAAAGAAGAGCATTGATCATGCCAATTCTTTTAATGTACTTTGTAGATCTTTTGGGGAGATTTTCCTTCACTTCCTGACTTAATGACCACCATCAGTGGGACAGAAAATGAGGGTAAATCAATGGGGGCACCCAGATAAAAGCTAAATTTTTTTTTTTTATTGCAGTCTGTGTCCTTGTTGGAGAGATGCAACCTCCTTCCATGACATCACTGGGTCTACAATATGCCCCATATCAACCAAGAGGATGACATAGATATATGTTCAATCTTTTAATTGGCCTATGCTTTAAGGGTCTTCTGTGCCCAAGGCACCACACTGCTTGGCCATATGTATGGCAGCTGAGGTACAAATCTACAGGGATTTGATTTAACATTGACTTGGGAGCTCAACTAGTCCTGGAGAGACTGTATAGTGCCATAGCTATGGCCCAAGTCTTCGGATTCCACCAGTAAGTAGAAGTATAGAAGAGCATTGCACATGCCAATTCTTTTAATGTAGTTTGTAGATCTTTTGGGGAGATTTTCCTTCACTTCCTGACTTAGTGACCACCATCAGTGTCCTTGCTGGAGAGATGCACACTCTTTCCATGACATCACTGGGTCTAAAATAAGGTATGCAATAAAAAAAGAAGGGTTTTATTAAAAAATGAATTATCACATTGATGAGGGGGATTGGGAGGAACCAGGGAAAGCAAAAAGAAGCAGATTAAACTTCAGCATTAAAGCTTACATACAATTACACAATTGGGCTCATATCTACCTTAATTTTCTCTTTTATTTGATTTTTGTCTGCTGTGTTCTCTTGTTAATATAACATTGATCTTCTTTCTCTCTCGCAGTTGTTCCAAAATACCAATTGACCTCTCCACCATGACCGTCCACGACAGCCCTATGTTTGACTGTGTCCGACGTCTCTCTACCTCAGTGTGTTCCACCGCAGAGTTCCACACTGTTTACAAATATTACTATGAAGGAGGAGAGGAGAAATGGGTGGAATATAGTCCGGTAAGGGAGACTGGAAAATAAAAGGGTCAGTCCACCCAAAACTGACCTTTCAGTGTTTGGTAGATACTAGAGCAGTGGATGTCAACTGGAATATTATAGACAACCTCAAGTGCGCCTCTGACACTTCCAGAGGGCAGCGCTACAGTAGCAAATTTTTGCACACTTAACACCCAAACATTTTGGACCTGCTGCATTTTCTGCAGTGTATCACAAAGCACACCCAGGAAGTTGAAGTACAATAACCTCCAGCATTGGTGTCAGTCGATGCAATAATAACCCACCCCGCATTGGTGCCAGTGGATGGAATAGCAGCTCCCATCCTTTAATCCTTACATTTTTCAAACAACATGTTATCAAGTTGGGCCTTTACATGATCTTCGCAGCCCACTTAAAGGTCCAGTTTTATATGCATTAGCTGTATTGTTCCGGGATGCACTCTATCAGCACCTCCAGACCTATGACCACTCTGTCACCTATAGCTCATAGTCAACTATTGATGGGGAGCTGGTAGCTATGGGCTCCCAATGAAGTCAGCACTGTGCAACCAATAACAGTCCCACATAGTCAGAAGCCCTTGCTACCATAGTTACATAGTTAGTCTGGCTGAAAAAAGTCACAAGTCCATCTAGTTCAACCAAAAAAAAAAATTATGATTCTATACCCAAAACAAATAATAGGTGCAGCGCTGCACCTATTATTTGCTTTGATTTTCTGAAGGTTCTTATTGGTTACCTTGGTGCTATAGCTGCTGTTTTTAAGAGCGCTCACTTTTTTCTTATACTTTTAATGATTCTATACCCACAGTTGATCCAGAGGAAGGAGAAAAAACCCAGCAAAGCATGATCCAATTTGCTCCTGCAGGAAAACATTCCTTTCAGATCCCCCGAGAGGCAATCAGATATTCCCTGGATCAACTTTACCTATAAATGTTATATCCAGTTATATTCTGTGTATCCAAGAAAGAATCCAGGACTTTCCTACAGCAATCCACTGAGCTGGTCACAACCAACTCTTGAGAGAGTCTATTCCACATTCTCACAGCTCTCACTGTGAAGAAATCTTTCTGTATTTGGAGATTAAATCTCTTTTCCTCCACATGTAAAAAGAGCCCCCTTGTCCTCTGTGATAACCTCAGGGGGAATAGCTCTACACCGAGTTCACTATATGAACCACTGATGTATTTATACATGGAAATCATATCCCCCCTTATGTATTATACATGGAGATCATATCCCCCTTATGTATTATACATGAAGATCATATCCCCCCTTATGTATTATACATGGTGATCATATCCCCCCTTATGTATTATACATGGAGATCATATCC